GCCAAAATTTTCATGTTATTCAAGGATATGATCAAAATAAGAAGCAACCTCAGACACAAAATTAAAGCTGTATGAACAGGTATTAAACTATACCAGGCAAGACACAGAGGTACATAGTTAACAAAGTGACAATTACCAAAATTCACATGCTTCAAGTGAAACTTCCTCATCAGCATCTTTATTGACTTGCAACATGTATTCGATTACATTTCGCAGGTGCGGCTGCAGATTCACATGATAAACAGTTTTTCATAAATAATGCAGCAATAAAAGACATCAATGTAGTTTAAAGAACGGAAAAATAGTCGTCTAAAAAAGGAGGAATTAGACAGAATCCAGCTCATATTTTCAGTCCAAGGAACAAAAGGCAGGAAGTGATTAAAATACGGTACATAATTCAAACAAGGAACAAAGAGGAACCAACCTCCAAGAAAGTTGGGCGTACTTCAATAAGCTGTACAAATGCTTGACAAACCTGCTCGACATAGACACAAAGAAAGGAGAAGGATGTAAACCTAACAATATTATTACTGCTACAACATACTTCATAATCTGAAAACAACTTTAAAGCCCACAGTAATAGATGTCAAACAGATAATTTATTGCAGCATCCTAGGGCTGCATTGACTTTCTTCTATAAGAAACCAAAGGATTTAATTAACAAACAAAACAGATCAGACAAAACACCATGATTAAGCAGGAAGCAGCTATAATAAAATATACTCCAGACACACAGAATGAAGCACTAACCAGCTTTCGCACTTCTGACGTAGGGTCATTAGCAAGAACAAATAAACCTTGAAGATACTGATCCATGGATACATATAGAGCCTACAATCATATATATTGTAACAACCAGTGTCAACATAAGGATCGGAACAAGGTTCAAAATAAGTAAAATAACAAAATATCTCACATAATTATTACTTACAGTGGGCATCAGCATAATGTATTGATTCACAGAACTCAATGAAAGCTTTCTCAACGTAGCATGCGGAGACTGAAAGAACTGTTCAAAGAATATCCGAGCACAAGAATCAGGAAACAGAGTTCTAACTGGTAAAAAAATAAACTGAACGATTTAACAGCTACGGATAGACAATGCTTCAATGCCAATTGAATCAATGGTAAGGAAACTATGAATAGAAAAATAGAGATATACGAGAAGGTACAAGATGACCATACCTGAAATAATCTAGGAAGAAATATGTTGATTGGGCGTTCAGACAATCCAGGTACATCCGAATCAAGCACTTGAGGTATATCTTCACAAATCTAAGCCATAAATTACAAAAAAGAAATATAATTGTCAAACCTTGGTAACACTCACCTTATCAAATTGCTGCCACATAAACTCAATATAAGGCTATGTCGCTGATCTTCATTAAAAGAGGTTGCATAAAAGATTGAAATCTTGAATGCCAATTGAACTTATTGAACTGTCCTAGTATACCCGATTTTAGCATGAACCAAAAGATCAAAGTGTACTCTGAAACAAATTAATTCAATTTACAAACAAAACCAACCTTCCACAAGGAACAGTCTTATCTAAACATTGAACTTCACCATACTCGTATAGGGTAAAGAATGAACAATCATGTGACAAAATTTTAGTCATTGAAATTATACCTCTAAAAAATAGACAAGGTAAGATTTTAGGATAAAGAATAAACCTTGGACAAAGCATCCATAGCACCTTCCATGTGATTCTGGTCTGAACTGTCTAAGCATTTTACAAGTGCTTGCAGCAACTCAGGCCACCCCAATACTCCCCCTAGTTGAACAACAACACTGATGATGGTCCCGACCGTAGACCTGATATGTCTGTCAGCAGCTCCCATACACGGCAACAATTCAGATTTAATATACTGCTGAAAGACAGGAGACATCGACTTGTATGCATTTCTAAGGTTGTTTTTCAGAAACAAGCCTGCAGCTTGTCGAACCTCGACTGATTTACCCTGCAGAAAGTTCCAATCTATCAACCCAATTTCTGAATTCCAAAACAAGAATTTTATAAATCACAGGCTAAATCTACAAGCAACAATGATATTCTAAAACCAACACAGAGCTTCAAATTCTTTTCAATTTTATTGCGTGTGGCTACATGTATAGCAGAGAGCAGAAGGCACACTAGTTAAAAAGGCTATTGGCGATGAACTGAAGTCAAAAGCAAAGTTCAGCAGATCGGTTGCAACAAATTAAGATAATAGTCCACCACAAAAAAACCCTTTGTCCTCGCGAATCAAGCTTCCACAGAACAAATATGACAATTATCCGTGAAGGGCACACGTTGGGGAGCAAACAAGCATTCCGGACGCATCAAGAGTACAACTCAAAAACTAATTAACCAATTTTAATCCCAACTCTACAATCTCAAACCCAGAAGTCACGAGAAGCCATTGGTCCAATCCAGTCAACCCCATCAACAACCGTTAAGCGAATTGCAAAAACATATAAACAAAAGCGCAAAAGAAGATAGAACAAGAAGAACCTCAGCGCGTGCAAGAATAAAAACGAGGTAATTATTGAAGTCAGGAAACTGCGAGTATTGCTGAAGTTGCTGCCAAATCTGGGACTTATCAGCATTCGATGAAGGGGAAATCTGCTGCTCGAGCAAGCCGCAGATCTCGTTGAACCCATTTTCCTGAGGTTGCCATGACACACTCGCCGCCATATCAATCGATTAAAACAAAAATAAAACAAACCCAATAGAGAACCAAAGCTGGAAATCAATGAGACGTATAAAGATTAATAAATCAAAAGGGTTTAACGTGGCGTAGGCGGAGAGGCGCCGAAGCTTGCTTGAATTGAAAAATCAAGAGGAATGATGAAAGGGTTTTGGGAAGCGGCCGATGAGGGAAGAGAGCGAGCAAGCTATATAGGTGGGTCGGGTTACGATATCAGGCGCGAGTGCCAGTGTCGTCAAAATGATTGGAGACGACGAGAATTGGACGATTCCGCTGTCTTTTAACTTTAACACATTGGACCTTTTAACGTTTTCTTTGGTAAATTGAAGAACACTTTTGTATTCTTCTTCCAATGTTTTGCTCCCAATTTGGTTTGATCTCTTTTTAAATTCTCTCTCGAACAAATAAATGTTCGAGATGTCGGATAATTTTACAAATAATGTGACGATGGTTTAGTCGGAACTGATACGATGATATTAAATATCGAGGAATAGGACGTGACAGTGGATTACCTAAAAAGATAAAAAGTGTTAAAACGTCGTGGTTTGTGTCAAATACATTCTTGTATTTGTTCAGCTCGAGCTTAATTCAATTAGTTAAACACATGTATCGTCGATCAAGAGATCAGAAGTGTTCAAACTTTAGTTATCTAACATACACACGTGTCAAACCAAAAAAATTAAACTTAAGTTGGTCGAGTCCAAAATTCAGTGAAGTGTTAGAAATCCATGATTTCACGCTTTGATACTCCCGGTAACGACTTAACCTTTGGAGAAGAACTGCTACTTAAAAAAGAGTTTGGTTTTAAAGGACAATAAATAATAATATCTTAAAGTAACATTCAGAATCCCGTACCCAAAAAACACGCATTTTCCAATCATGCCCTTTGTAAACTTCTATTCAATTTGTAATAAATGTGCGTGTTCTTTATAGGATCCCCAATGTCATTTCACGACCTTACTTTTTTTTTGAGGTACGACACTTTTCCTATTGAGAGATGTCAATCGTTGCTGTTATGCTACTGGTCACTTTTAATTTAATAAGAGTTAATCAAATTAAACATCTTTAAGATATATATAGGTATATGCTCGTTGAGACTAAATCGAGACATTATTTACAATGAGTAGAAATTTTGACATGGTCGGTGCAAATTTGACACCGTTGGCGTTTGCTACATTCATGTTTTGTTAGTTAAGCGAGATTCGAGGTGAGAGATTCTAAATTTTGTGACATCTCACTTCGTGTGTGTATGATTTAACTAATTGAGCGGAGCGTAATTAGTGAATGATGCATATAACGATGAGACAGAGGGTATGGAGTACGAGACAATTTGAAGTAAAGTCTATGTTTGATAATTAACTTTCAATAATATTTTTATACATTTAATTAGAAAATTTTGACTGGATCTACATTGGTGTATATTATATTTAAAACTGATTTTAATAAAATACCCTATAATTTTATATTTGGTCTTAAAAAAATAATTTTAAACTAAAAAAAAAAAAAAGCTAAATAATACCCTTAAATTTTTAAAGGGTTTCAAAAAGTGATTGAGGAGAATGAGAAGCAACAGGGCGAGACCAAAGTTAAGGTACAACGCCCTCTATGGAACGTCAGCTTTCTCAAAATTTGAAAGAAATTGAGAAACATGGAGGAGAACGATCACAGAAAACCTCTAAAAAGGATTTCTAAAGTTTCATGATCTTGAAAAGTTGGATAAGGAGGTTCGAGATATGCCTTTCACAAATGAGATCATGAGGGAAGATTTTTCTCAAACTTCCAAGTTCTAATAAGCCTTATGATATAAACACATTCAGACTGAAATCCAAGTCAAAACTCGGGTTGAAACTGACTCTAAGGTCGACCCTCAATTAAGGTCAAGGTTGATCCTAGATTAAGGTTGAGATGACCCTAGGTTTAAGCGAACAGATTGAAATCAATCACAATCTCACTTATATTTTGGAAATACTGAACAATCGAACTTATCTAGCAAGTACTAAAGAAAAAAAAAGACTTGTTGGAGACCTTACCAAGTAAAACGAGTACTCAATTCCAAAAATCAAAGAAGAAAGTGAATTTTGGTAAGAATCAATCAAAGAAAAGGCGAAAAGACAAAGAAAAAAATAGGATCAGTTGAATACGCAATTTTTCGAATTATCACACATTTTTTTTTACAAACCATAACGAGTACTATTTTACCAACTCCAGCCCCTCCTAGGAGACAATTCCGTGTTCCCCAAGGCACCCTCTTTCAAGAGGATTCGTGGCATGTCAAGCCCTGGTAAGATTCTTCGCTTTGCATCGAATTAAACCACATGCTCCACCGCACATCGAGGAAAAACATAAGGCTTCTTCAATCTACAACAACATTATAAAATTATAAAATTTATGTACATCGTTAATATTCAACCGGGAATAGAAGCATCGCCCAATATGAACCAATTTAACTACAAACTTAGCATTATCTAAGTTTCTTAAACTTGAAAAGAAGTGGAAAGTAGAAAGTAAAAGGGACTTTTCATCAGAATTGGAAGGAATGATTGGGATAAAGTACAAGATTTTTCCCTCGACTACTTCACTAAATAAAAGCCACTAAGCTTTTCCAGAATCATGTCCACTTAAATTAGCAAGAAGAAAAAGAGAAAGCCACCAGACCCCAATCAGTCTCTATAAGAATGGGTTAGGTCCTATCAGTCAGTGAAAGCAAGAAAAACAAAAGACTTTGTTTTAATACTCACCTCTGGACTGCCGCCGTCCGTACAAAAGAATCTACATTGATTCACCCTTCTTTCGGTGGGTGAGTGAGGAACAACCAAGCATCCATGAGGGTGGCAGTGGCACAACTCGTTTTAGACAAATAGGTGGGACTGTCAAACAGAGCCTTAGCTCTCTCTCTCTTTTTCCTTGCAAAGGCTGCCATTGAAGCTGTAGAAGGTTGAGATGTTGCATAATGACTGTTAGCTGGGTTGGGAGTGACCTGCAGCTTGAAAAGGCTTCATTTATTATTCCTGTGAGGGAAATTACAACGGGAAAGAGAGAGAAAGCGTAACAGCCCAATCCCATCGCTAGCAGATATTGTCTTTTTTCGACGTTCTCTTTCGAGCTTCCCCTCAAGGTTTTTAAAACAACATCTGCTATGGAGAAGTTTACATATCTTTATAAAATCGATGTGGGATCTCACAATCCACCCCATTCAAGGCTCAGTGTCCTTGTTGACATTGGTTCCCTTCTCCAATTGATGTGGGACCCCCCAAATCCACCCCGTTCGGGGTCCAATGTTCTTGTTAGCACACCGCCTTGTGTCCACCCCCCTTCGAAACTCAGCCTCCTCCCCTGGCACATCGACTGGTGTCTGGTTCTGATACCATTTGTAACAGCTCAAGCTCACTACTAGTAGATATTGTTCTATTTAGGCTTTTCCTTCAAAAATTTTAAAACGCGTCTGCTGAGTAAAAGTTTTCATACCCTTATAAATAAGTTGTTTTTGTTCAACGTGGGATCTTGATAAGGAAGAGCCAGGGAAAACAGTAAACAAAAGGCAGTAATATGTTTGATGTGACGCAAGTAGGAATAGGAGACTGTAAAAATCTGTACCTCCATTTTTCCTTTCAATAGAGGGGGCTGCTGCTTTCATAGCTCTGAGCTTCAAAGTGTTATTTACCTGCAGATTGCTATCCTCTCTCTTGCCTTTTTCTCTGTAGATAAGCACTTTATTGAATTGTAGTAAGTGATGTGATGTTTCTTGTTCAATTGGTTTACTTCGGAATGATTTTACTTTAACATGCTATAAACGAAATCAACACATACTTTAGACACGTTTACAGATCAAATAAGACACCTGAAAATATGAGAATTTTGGAAAAAAGTCATAGTTTAAGAGGGAGGCCAGACTACTTATGCACCATCCCAGATGACAGTGTGATTTATAATAGCCATAAAAGAACATAAAAACTTGAGCAGAGATGATAATGACGAAAAAGAAAAACAAAGGGAAAAGAAAAGATAATAGCACAATTGATGTGGAGCCGATTCCATTACATAATAATTGTGAGATCTCATGTCGGTTGAGGATGAGAATAAAACATTCTTTATAAGGGTGTAGAAATTTCTCACTAGCAAACGCATTTTAAAGAACTTAAGGAAAAATTTCAAAGAGGATAACATCCGAAAAATTAGGCCCACATGGGAAGGGTGTTTTATCACAAATCATGCTACTCAGCTTTGGTCTAAAGGAAAAAAACTCCCATAAGCAACAAAATCTTCAGCAGATCAACTTTCTCAGATATGAAGGAAGTACTTTAATCATATCAACCTTGCAAGAACTGGTTTCAAAACCAGCAGATTCTACGTACGGATGTTGATTAATGAGAAGTAAGTAAGTCAATTTTTGGCTTCGCTTCAGAGCCTGTTTGTTTTATCAGTGAAAACAAGTCCAGCAGACAGATACAGAAACACAAGCAAAAGCCCAACATCAACAGTTTTCAGCAGCAAGCAAAAGCCACAGAACTTGATTGTATTTTGGAATGGTTTAGCATATAAAAAATGGGTTCAAATATCTTCCCTGTTCCAAAAGGAATCAAAGAGCTCGATGACCCACGTACATACAGCACCGGAAATCTATAAGAACACCGTAATAGCTGTTAGGAAACGACTCTACACATTAGTATCACATTGTTTATTTTGAGCATAAATGGTTTCGCTTTTAGTTTCTCCAAAAGATCTCATACTAAAGATCTCATACCAATTGTCTCTTACTTACATACTCATGATTTTATTCCGACGAGTTAGTACTCCAAGTTACATAAAGAAGAACCACACTTTCCCAAAAGTTCGAAATGGAACTAAATTTTCTCAGTTCAGAACCATCGTCCAATCTGTAACTTTGAGTTTTCTGGCCCATAACACTGAATCACTCTCCTTTTTCTAAGGCCAGGACCAACAGAAGATCACCGTATAATTTGTCCTGTTCGAACTCCGAGAATCTCGTAGAATGATTTGTACTTCTATCGTCAGGGTACAATTCCCGATACCCTTCCTCCACAGCCTTCCAACACATGCTATTGAAAGTTCAAGACCTAGTCGCCTCCTTCTCACTCAATACCATAGAAATCTATAAGGACCTATATTACATCTAGATTCCCATTCTAGCAGCAAAGAAGCTTCCCTAAGATAGATTTAGAACATGCGATTAGTAGTTCCACTAATTCAATAATTTAGAAATAAAAGCAAACTTTCTTGGCACTTTTTCTCAGTGATAAGATGTACGTAACCGGAGGAAGCAATTATTAGATGAACACGACTCTCTACGATGGTATGATATTGTCCACTTTAAACATAAGTTCTCTTAGCTTTACTTTGAACTTTCCCAAAAATCCTAATACCAATGAAGAGAGTATTTCGGCACCAATGATACATTATCCAATATACTTGCAAACGAATACATAAAAGAAAGCCCTAGAAAGATGCAAACCAAAGTCACCTGAGATCGGCATTTCGGCACCAATGAGAATACAACAGGACGACTCTGTGGCGGCTAGGGCATCGAACGTACGGAAGGATTGCAGTACGGAAAAATTCTACATCTGCAGAATAGCAGCGACGACGGCCGTCGCCACTAGGCGGATGCCGCCGATTTATCCATAAGGTCGCCCGTCGGAGTGGCTTTTTAAATATATATTTTTTTTATAGAGATATTGTCGCCAAGTTTAAGTTTCTCTAAATAAAAATTAATTAATCAATTTAAACTTCCATTTTCTTTTTGTCATAAAAAAAAATTTTAATTTATAAGTTAAATTAATAAAAATAGCCATAAAACTTTATTAATATCCTTCCATTTAAAAATAAGAAAATAAAAATATTTTTCCTATTAGTACCATATTTAAAAAATATTTATAAAAAATTAAAAAATATATATTGTCCACTCTAAACATAAGCTCTAGTGGTTTTGCTTTGAGCTTTTCGAAAAACTCATGCCAATAGAGATGTATTATTTTACTTATAAATTGATGTTCAATCTCTAAATTAGTTAATATGGGACTTTCATCATCCAACAACATTAACGATATATTTGAATAACTTTATAAATTATTGTTTTTTTTTTATAATAAAATTACGTGTAAACCAATCTAAACTAAGATTTGTCGTTACTCCTAATTCTATTTTCTTACTTACCAAATCTCATTCACTATTTGTCAGTTTCCATTAGAGCCCCGTCAAAGAAAAACTCTCTTCTTAATGAGAAAATCTGGACCGTACATCACGAAGACCAAAACATCCCCTTGCCGGATATGCGATGGAGATCAGACAATAAAAAGAGCTCACCGGAACTTATTCTATGAACGGCATACCATAACATTCCTTGATTTTGCATATCAACGAAGGCCAGCCTCACGCTTCTGCAGAAAATCAGTTCGACTATGGCAGCCACCCTCTCCGTCCGGCCTAACACCCCTGCCGCCGGTTCACCGTTCTCCCGACCGCCCTTCCGACGATCCGGCTCAACATTTCACGGTAGAACTGTTTCCTGGACCGGTGGTGTCCCTCCTCTCTGCCGTGAATATGCTAGGACGCTGCTGCTGCCGGTTCAGGCGAGCTCGCGCGCTGACGACTCGGCGCCGTCTGAGATGTCCCTCGAGAACGCGCTTAAGCTTCTTGGAGTCTCCGAAGGAGCCTCCTTCGATGAAATACTCCGCGCCAAGAATTCCATTCTTGCTACTTGCGGCGACGACAAGGGGATTGCTCAGGTGATGTATTGATCGTGGTTTGAGTGCCAGTTTTGTCTTGATTTTGGAAATTTCAATACCTGTTCTCATGCGTTGATGTCAATTTGGTTGTTTTGTGACTCAATTTTGATAGTTTCTGTATTTCTTACTTCGATCAGTGGAACCTAATAGTCTAGTATCAGTATGTTACGTAATAAATTCTCTTAGAGTTTGAATTAATTAACCAAAGTCTATCATATTGAACGCCATGCAAATATAGAAACAATTTCAACTTCTCCCCTCAAAAGTAAAAAGGGAGAAACCGGGGATTCAACCTCCTTTTAGTTAAAAATATGATTATATTTGGTTTTTCATTGCCTACTGTTCTGCCAAATGTCATTTATCACTTCTATAGCACAAGTCATTGTACTTGTCATTCCATTTAGCTGTTTTGTTAATAATCCATTAGGAAGGAGATTTATTTGTCATTTGGAGAAAATCCTCTGCCTGGTTGCTAAAGCACGATATTGGATATCCTGCACTTTTCATGGATGATTGGGCAAAATTGTTACATTCCCTGGGTGAACGTTTTATATTTCTCAAAGGTTCTAATACTGACAGGTTTTTTATTTGTTACAAATGATTTCATGTGTTTTATATTTTATTTGGAAGGTTTTCTAAATGAAGAACTAAGGACTATGCATCGATTCCATTCTGTCACTCGTTACATTTTTTATCCACTATAGCCTATATGGTAGGAAAGCCATAAACATCTCCTTGTTGCTATGCCAAATGTGTTTCAGGTTGAAGCTGCGTATGACATACTGCTGATGCAGAGCTTAACTCGGCGTCGAGCTGGGAAAGTTGAGAACAGTCGCATCCGGTATGCTGATGTGAAACCAGTAAATTCTCCTGGTGTAGGCTCAATGTCTCAGTGGCTGCGGAACGTGCCTGTTTCTGTAGAAACACCATCTACTGGTGACTTGGGCATACAAGCTGGTGTATATGGGGCATTAGCAGTCTTGACATATGTAAATGGAGCTGCTTCATCTTCTTCACTGCCTTATGCAGGTGCTGATGTTCCTGGACTGATCTTGGCTGGTAGCTTTGGAGCCTCCCTGTACTTTATGACCAAAAAGAACGTAAAATTAGGTAAGGAGTTTCACAAAGAAGGTTTACAATATATTGCTTATAAGTACTAGAAGAGTTTGATTATCATGAACTTGAGAATTCTCCACTGCAACCCATTATGATTAATGTTTTAGGGAAGTCCAAAGACCGGCTGAAGAACCATACTATTTATCTTTGAAGTTATATATAGCCTGCAAGAATCGTGGCTAAAAAAGTGAATGTAACTTGATTCTTTTTAAACATAATTTGAAATATGGGAGGATCTTTTAGATTTATTGCTATTTCGAAATCAAGTTACCATGTTCTATTGATTGGCTTATTGGTTATCTGAAGTTTTTTTTTTTCAGTGTAGACCTGAATAATCGAGCAAATTAGCTTTCTTGGTTGTGTGAAAGTTACATACAGAGGTCTCTTCTAATAATGATTCCGTTATTAATTCTGTAATCTATGTCTAAAAAGATCTTTAATATGTTAATTAAGTTTAAGAACGCTGAAAGCACTTTTCACACCTCAAGAACAATAATGCTTAATTTTACGAGACAGAATTGTTATTGTTATTAATTGGAGCCCAAGCTTTCAGAATTTCATAAGTTGAAACTCTTAATCGTTGAAGAACATATTTGACGTTAATTTTTTCCCTCTCATTGCAGGAAAGGCGACGGCGATAACACTAGGTGGCCTTGTGGCTGGTGCGGTAGTCGGTTCTGCAGTTGAGAGTTGGCTGCAGGTTGACATTGTTCCTTTCCTTGGTATACACTCTCCTGCTACTGTAGTAAGCGAATTCCTAATTTTATCCCAATTCTTGGTCTCTTTATACCTTAGATAGTGCTAATAATATATTGTAACTGCCCCTTCATTGTAGGAGTTGTAATTATTCATTTGCTCTATCACATGTTAGCTTTTTAAGGCTGTGTGCTTTTGGATGCACAAAAGTTCAATGAATTGTTGGGAATGACTTGTGTTTATAGTGAAGAACATAATAATCATCATATGTTCTCCATGTTGGATATGATTGTTCAAAATGTCCATTTGTCACAATTTCACTATATTGTTCTCATCTTCTTATATTCTCAACTTGTAGATTTTATAGGCTTCACAGGTCATTACTATAAGCCCATGGCAATTAAGCCTTCTTGGTTCGATATGGAGTTCATGATTTAGAACAGAAAAGAGAAAATGAAGTATGGCCAGAAGGTCGTGAAATTCAGTCATGCTATCCCTACTGTTCTTCCAGGTTTCTATTCAATTGCAATCACTTGGGATATACAATGGAACTGTTTAAGAGTCGATATCTTCTTGCTTAAGAATGGTCCCCCCGCCCCAAATGCCCCCCTGTAGTGCTTTGTTGAAAGGTTCATGTCAGGTGGCAAGGACTTGCCAATGACTTCTTGAGATCCTTGAGCTCCTTCTGTATTGTAGAATAGCTTCTTGAGATACCCCAGCTTTCTCAGCTTGCAGGGCCTTACAGAGGGAGGATAATTATAAAAGACATCCACAGAAAAAAAAAAAAAAAAAGAGGGAGAGAGAAGAGAGAATTTAAAGCTTTGACGGCCACGTGAACACCATCTGTCTTTTTGCTAGATTCAGATTCTGTTTTCACGTGTGTCCCACCATAATAATGGAAAAAAACACATACATGAAGACAAAGCTTTGCAACTGCCATTGATGGTACCTGATCAAAAGACAACACACTGTTATGAATGTGCTTTCTGCATTTCTCCAGATAGAGAAGACCAATTGATTACTGGAAAGCTGAAAAAGGTTGAAATAGAGCTGTTGACCAAATTTAGGTCCCAAGCTTCTTTGTTTTTTCAGGAACATTGAAGCTACTTACAATAATTGCCCACTTAGAATCCAAATCTACATTTTTAGCCTCTTGCCAATAGTGTAGAAAGTCAATAACATGACCTTGTCTGCAACAAAATTGTGGGAATGAAAGCCTGAAACAAAATCTTAACAATTTTCTAGGATGGAATGTTGGAAGGAAAATAAAAACCTATGTCTCAGCGAGCTGCTTCGACTAGGTATAATTTACAGAATTCAGGAAAAAAGAATACCCCTTTTTAGTCCCTCCCTCCTATCATCTGCCAACATTTTCTTCTGATTGGGAGCCCTCGATATAGTTCATATTTTCGGGTTTATTGGCATTCTCGCTGTTTGTCACGAGGTCGTTGTACATTTTTTGGGAAGCCTTGGCAAACTCTGATAAGGATTCAAAGACTGCAGAAAACCCTGTTTGGATTCCATTTAATGTGATGCTTTGTGCTTCTTGAATGCAGTTATGGTGCTTTTCCTTCTCCAAGTCTAGCTTCTTTCTGAACATGTCCAGCTGATCTTTCTTCTCTGTCAAGTATTCGTTCTCATTTTCGACTTCCAACTCTGATTTCGTCTCGGTAAAGTTGAATTCCAAGAACTTGTTCTCTGTTTTTTGGAATGACAGAATCTTTCGATCGAGTTCCTTCACCATACTTTCAACTCTTCTCTTTTGCTGCTGCTCTTCCATCTGCTTATCTGATAGAGCCTTCATATCCTTTGAAAAACTTTTCAATGAAAAGGATACTGCTTTATCTGGTAACTTTTGCATGGAAGATAGCCAATCACGGCAGGTTGAAAGCAATGGAGGTCCGTGCAGCCCATAAGGTACAGACGAAGCCCGACTTCGAGAATAGAATTCGACCTCAGGCATTACAAACTTGGTCAGCCATCCATGGAGAGCTTCAATGTAAGCCCTTTGTGATTCAACATATTTTGAAAAACATGAACGCCAGTTTAGAAGCTCAGCCCCAAGCTGAAGTGTTGCAAGACGATGAGATTCGTTACAGAATTTCAGATAAGAATGGCAGGAATAAGTCTTCACTTCAAGAATAATCTTTTTTTGGGTTTCATGAACCTCCAACATGATTTTCCATGTTCTTGTTAAGCTGCAAAACCATTTGGAAAGAAAAACATGTGACAAACTGGCAACATTGCCTACATTATTCACATCAGAAATGCAGATATCTTCCAAGTTTTACCCTTTTAATAGCTCAATGATCTGAGGTTGTAGCTCGTCATCTCTGAGTTTCTCTATTCTTGTTGAGATAGACTCGGCACTCCGAATGGCCACCAAGATCCTGGCATATAAATCTTTTACTGCAACTCGAGTTTTATCGATTGTGACTCCATTACTCCCTTCAATGTCCTGGTTTCTTAGTCGTGAACATCTTTTCTCGTACAGTTTGCGCATACTGTCCCCAGCCTGAATGTAAGAATAGGAACACAACCCAACAACCATTAGGAAGAATAAGAAATTTGTTAGTCGAAAATCTACTAACCCTTTCTAAAAATCCATAACAGTAGTTTCTTTGCTAACAGAGGATAAATCTACAGTGAAGCAGGAAGCTACCAAGTCAGGAAGGATCAAAGATTTATTTTGTTTACATCTCTAAACAATGCTAATGAGGTTGAGCAATCAACACGAGAACGAGCCAGGCTCGAATCACTTCTCGGGTAACTAAAGCAGCATAAGATTACGAGGATAAAGAAAGCTAAGACACCCTTTTTCTTTCTGCAAAACTAATAAGGCTTAGGATAAAGAAAGCTAAGATCTCAGACAATCAAAGAGGTTGCCAGGAGAAATGCTATTGCAATGGAATAGCCTATCTATGGTTCATTTTCTTCCGTCCAAAATCTTTGATCAAGTTGAAGTGATAATTAACCAAGTGAAGGCAAAATCTACATGATCATCAAATTTAGCTGGATTGAGATTATCAAACCAGAATGTTTTTACTGTGTTGTAATGATCTTTTCAAAAGAGAAACGGCTCGAGGATCGTACTTCACCTTAACCTCTTCGTAGAGTTTTTTCTCCCAAGCATATAACCGTCCAAGAGTTGATGAATGGCTTCCCGAGTCCATTACGCCATAATCATCAAATAGTTCATTCTTAAACTCTGTCCATGACGAAGAACTCTTCGAACTGGATGCTACTAGACTCTTACATGATGAAGGTTTGACCGTAGCAGCCCGGTGCCAAGTTATCGCTTGGATGAGTTTTGTCGAGTTCTCTGCAGAAAAATGAGTTAGTTAAGTTAGCTAACTAGAGATTGATATCAGCTCCAATGATTTCAATGAAGCTTGCAAGAAAAAAGCAAACTTGAGTGCTTAAATAGTGAATGGCCCACCTTTGATCTCCTCTAAACCAGACTGGAGCTGAATTTTGTTGGCCTCTAACATCCTAGAAACATCAATTCCGGAATCATAAGCCCTAATGAAATAGTCCTCAATGTCCTGCAAAGCTTCCAAAAGTTCCCTTCCTTCCACTGGTGTGTCAATGACTGTTAGCCCTTTCTGCTTCAACTTACCCTCTTCTTTAACCATTTCAACTCCATTCCTTGGCTCTTTAAGAACACCAACATTTTCCTCTTCAACAACAGCCACAACTCTCTGCCTTTGCTCTTCCTTTTCTTCCTCTGCCTCTTCCAGCTCTGGAATGCCTTCTTCCTCCCTCACCATCCTGAGATCGTCCTCCGAGCTTTGTCGATACTCGGCGGCGGCAGCGACGACATCAGTCCTCATACTGTCAAATGGATTGAAAAAATCCCATGCAAACTCCCTCTGAGGAGATGGCATTGGTGGTGGCATTTGCATGTAGAAATATGAAGGGACCTGTTCTATCCTCTCCTCAACTAGCTCTTCTTCTTCTTCTTCTTCTTCTTCTTCTCCTTCATCCATGGAGGACTCTGCAGAGGTTGAAGAAGAGGAAGCACATGAAGGGCAGGCAGCTATGGCTTCATGGGCGGAATCAGAAGGTGTTTGCTGAAGAAACATTGGATTGTTTACCACTTTTTCTGAAGGGGGAGGAGAAGAAGAAGAACATGGAGGAGGGAATGTGATGAGAAAAGGGGAAGGAGAAGAATGGCGAGCTACAAAGAGCTTAATGGCAGCTGAAACAGCATATAAAGCTTGACAATATTTACAATGAGCCTCTGCTAGAGCATACCTTCTCTCAACAGCTAACTTTAGTTGCCGTTTTCTTTCTCTACAGATGGTAACAACTTCTTCTTCTTCCTCTAACTTTGAGGCAACACAACCCATCTCTTCTTCTTCTTCTTCCTTTACTGATATTCTTTACTGATATAAAGAGGAAGATGTTTGCTTCAGAAACATAAAGTGTAGAAATGCAGCCTTTTGAGAAAAATCCGATCGACCCATTTCATGTTCCTGCAACTAAAATGGTGGGATTGCTTCAAAAACAAAAACAAACCAAGAACAATGAGGCTTTTGAAGAAGGTTCTTCCTAAATGCTAGATGATGAAGTGTAAGTTAGAAGGAGGCAAGAAAAACCTCTGGTTTAGCTGTTTTTTAGACTCGATAGAGATTAGGAAAGAAACCCTCTTCTCTTTTGGGGCTAAGAACTTGTAGAGAGAGAGAGAGAGAGAGAGAGAGAGAAACATAGGCGAGGAAGAAGGTAGGGGCTCGAGAAAGAGAGAGAGGGAAGTGTTGTGTAAAATTTTGTACTCCATTTGTTAGCGTGTTAATGTTAAAACAGTTTGAAATAGGAAAAAGTTCAGAGCTTGGTTTACCTGGTTTTTACACATTACCCACTTTTCATTACTTTATTTTCCATTGATTAATGTCTCTCTCCCTCTCTCTCTCTCTCTCTCTCTGAGAGAGAGAGAGAGAGAGAGAGAGAGAGAGAGATTTTGTTGGGTTGAAAGGTTGATTTGTGTTGTTCTTTGTAACTCAAACACAACATTACACAATAAGCTCTTGGGGTTTTGGTTTGGAGAATCCAGAAAGTCACAAACTGTCACTCTCTTTATAGCTTACAGACAACTCTTGTCTCCTTACACAAGAACTCTCTACTTTTTCCTTCTCTTTTTTTTTTTTTTTCACCCTTTTAGGTTTAAATGTTTGATAATTAATCTAAGATGGCCTATGATCGATCCTTTATACTTCATTTATTGAGTTTGAGCTATGTTTAAATTGACATTTTTTTTTGTTTATTATAATTATGTTGTAAGCTTTAATGATGGGTCTATATATTTTTTAATTATCTTTCATGACTTTTTTTATTTTTATTTTCGATGAGTCTTTTTCTAGTATGATACATTTTAAGAAGTTGTTACCCATTTAAGTTATTATTTATATTGATGGGAGGCGTGTTAATTGGCCCAATGAGCGATGTTTTAGCACTATGTAATAATAGGGGCATACAAGAGATACACTCCTTGAATAAGAACACGGGTAGATGAGTAATAATCTTGGTATGATCCATGGTGGAAGAATTCTAGTACTCTTGTGGTCTAATTTTTTTTTTTTTAAGTCTAAAAATATTATTAAAACTTTTGAAAATTTATAGAAGGTTTGAAGGGAAGGGTAAGATTTAAAAGTTTTTTAAAAAATTTATTAATTTAGCTTTATCATAATTATTAATTTTTTAAATAAAATTTTATTTGATCTCTAAATTTTTTAAAATTCACATAAAATTAAAATTTTAAATATTTTTTATAAAATAAATTTACCATTTTTTTTAATTAAAAAAAAAAACCCAATTTGGTTTGAACTTAACCCACACCAAATTCAACGTAAGTTTAGAGGTTGAATCCATCCAATCCAATGTAACCCAGAGAGAGAAGGGTTGTGAGTTGGTAGTGGGCAGTGAGAAGTGTGCCATTTCTTTTACTTTGGGGATGGAAAATGGATATGGAAATGACAATTAAAACAGGACAACCATACACTCCCTTTCTCACATAGGGACCTTCCCCCTTTTCTGTCTGCTTTTAAGTGTTTATTATACCCTCTCTCTCTCTCTCTTCTGACACTCTCTCTCCTCTTTCTCTCTCCTCCCTGTTCACTACTACAATACTCTATTCAAAATTCCCACACATTTACATACATACCCACCACAACCAACCATTCATACACAAGAACTGGAAATATAGCTTCAAAGAGACATATTCGAGACCTGTATCGTTCTTCAAAGAGACATATTCGAGACCTGTATCGACACACACTTGTCAAGCGAGTGTATAGGAAGATGTTTCAGGATAATCTACAAGAAAGTCGAGGGAGGACGTGACAATCAATCAATCATTCATTCTATTGAATAAGAAAGTGCAGATGTTATGGCAGATTAGGCAGCAGTTCAGTAAACCACCAAAACTGAATCTCCATAGTCATCATACATACAATTTACAAGACCTAAGCAGTGAGCAAATGGGTAAAAAATAGGGAAAAAAAAATCATGGGAATGGTATGAAATATGCCATGGAATTAGCTACAATCTTCTTGAGTTAACAGTTACAGTGTATGGTAAAAAAGATTGATATATGCCTGGCTCCACTTTTTATCTCTGTTGGAAGCTAACCTGGTATTCACATGAGTTGATATATATAGCCCTGTAATCAGGCCATGCTGTTGTCTGATGGCGTGGTGCAAGGGGCCAATGAGTTTGGACGTAAGTTAACTCCGCCCCCTCGTATGGATATGCTTCCACATTTTGTAGAGCTACCTCGGCTCACGAGGTTTGAGTCGAGAAACACAACAACCACTGTAATGTCATCGTGGAAATGTCGCCGTACGCCACGGTCGATCTTCTTCAAGTCGGAGTATCTCATTTCTCTCTTCTTTGCTGCCTCTAGCAGTGCTGCTTTCACTAGCCTCCTTGCACTTCCCTGCAATGAGATTAGTCTTTCTTCTCATCACTTTTGAAAACTTTTCTCTCTTGGAAAGATATTGATTTTAAAACTTTCAATACAATATATGAAGCTATAAAGAAATCTAGAATTACTATAGCTACTTAAGGTTGCTCTTAGTCAACAAGAAGCATGCTGCAAGAACGACGAGATGTAAAATGTGGTTTAGGACTCGATCTAACCTACGTTATTCAAAACACAAGATATGACAGCAGATCGTCGATCTAAGCTACTTAAGGTTGCTCGGATCATGTAGAAGTTAACTTGCCTGTTTGTGATCAAAGAAAGACCAAAAAGAAATAAAACATGCGGAATAGAAACTATGTAACAGGTCAAGCCCACCGCTAGCAGATATTGTTTGTTTTGGCCCGTTACATATCGCTAACAGCCTCACGGTTTCAAAACGCGTCTGTTAGGGAGAGGTTTCCACACCCTTATAAGGTATGTTTCGTTCTCCTCTCCAACTGTGTGGGATCTCACAATCCACCCCGAGTGTATTCCCTTCTGATTTTAGCTGGGAGAGAAATCTTACACTACGTGGATGATTTTGGACAATATCCACAGCTTCCTGGTTGCTAAGGTGTTCCCAGAGCCCATCTGAAGCAAATATAATAAATTGATCCTGTGGCTGTAACTGAAGCACCGAAATAGATGGTTCGGCACTCAGTATCGGCTTTGTGATCGGTTCACGAAGGCGAAACTTGGCATAAAGAGGCTCTCGGTTGAATTCAGCTTTCTTCAAATAGACATCGCCGATCGATCGAGAAACCTAGGAAAGAAAAGTTGTTTTGTGCTTAGTTAAAACACATAATTCAGCCACATGAAAAGAAAAACTACAAGCATAATCGATATCGATGCATCGAATAACTAACCTGTATAAGACCCTTCACGCGCCATACATTATGCTTCAAAACTACAATCTGGGGGTCATCGGGATGCAGAGCACGTAGCTCGTGCCGAACAGACTCTATAGATGCATTATGCTCGGCCGACAACTGAACGGACAAAACTTCCCCTGTTGCTTTCACGACTCGCCCTAAAACAGCTCGTGAATCGCCAAGGTTAGCAATGTAAAGGGTTCCACCACAAATTACACCAACAAGGCAGCAAGATCCAACAGCTGCAATTTGTGGCCTCATCGACCATTGTTTCGAAACTTGAGCAACGACCCCGTCTTCTGTAGCTTGAAAGGCCTTTCTTATGACATCCACGGACATGGATTGTTGCTCTGAAGTAAACCCTGAAAATTAGGGAACAAACCATAAGGACTTTGGAGTATCTTAGTTTCCAAGCTTTATGGAAATTAGATTACAAGCTTATATATCAAATGCTTTTAAATTCTTGACCAAATATAGAAGTAGAAAAGGAAAAGAATATTCGCGTCTTAACTTCTAACATTAAACCTTGATCAAGCCACACCAACTCACTTTTCCAACCTTGTGAGATCCCACGTCGGTTGGGAAGGAGAACGAAGCATTCTTTATAAGGGTGTGGAAACCTCGTTTTAAAATCCATGAGAGGAAGCCCGGAAGGGAAAGTGCAAAGAGGACAATATTTGCTAACGTGGGCTTGGGCCATTACAAATGGTATCAGAGCCAGACACTGGGCGATGTGCCAACAAGGATGCAGCGCCCCGAAGGGGGGTGGATTGTGAGATCCCACGTCGGTTGGGGAGGAGAACAAAACACTCTTTATAAGGGTGTGGAAACCTCTCCCCAGTAGATGCGTTTTAAAAACATTGAGGGGAAGCCCGGAAGGGAAAGCCCAAAGAGAACAATATATGCTAGCGGTGAGCTTGGGCCGTTACAAATGATATCAGAGACAGAAACTGGGCGATGTGTCAGCAAGGACGATGGGCCCTGAAGGGGGATGGATTGTGAGATCCCACATCGATTGGGGAGGAGAATGAAGCATTGTTTATAAGGGTGTGGAAACCTCTCCCTAGCATCCACGTTTTAAAAACTTTGAGGGGAAGCCCGGAAGGGAAAGCCCAAATAGAACAATATCTACTAGCGGTAGACTTGGGCGGTTAAAACCACCTTATTTGAGATGGGAATCATTTTTTTGGAAACTATGAACCAGTGAAAGCACTATGAGCATAGTATTCTTCAGTTTTTCAAACCAAAACCCAACGGTATTGAATCAGAGTTCCACCTTTCATCCCTTTCTAGATGCACAATCCACTTGCAAACCAACTCACATCAACTCATTGAGAAATCAAGCATATGGGAAATGAATTATTGGACAAAAAAGATATTCAAGATCAAAGAAGTTTCAGTGCCTTACTTTTAAGATGCTGGAAAAGGTGATCGTTAACATAGCGCGACGTCTCGGGCCCTCCATGCCCATCATACACTCCAACAAAGGTACCATATGGTCCCGACTCGTGCAAGCTCAAATTGCCTGACTCTATCTGGCTTTGATCTTCAAGTAAATTGTTAGCTTGAACTACAGCCATTGAAAACTCACCATTGGCATGCTGTCCACTATCCTTGTACCATAGGAGACCATCCTGTCGCCCACCAGCATCTGAACCTTTGTGGACATGTCGGTTCGACCTCGGTCGAAAACAAGCTCTCAGAAAGTTCATCAACTCTGAGAACATCCCTCATCTCAACCAAACAACCCTCCAAAATATCCACATCTGGATACAAGGAACAAAAGGAGTTTAGACTCACTAATTCCTATTCCAATTCCTTCTGATATGCTGATGTTTAAACTCACGAACTTATATATGCTACAGAAATAACCAATAAGATTAAGAACAACAAAAACATAAACAAATAGAACATAGATTTCGTCGAACAAAACGAGAGAGACATAGCAAAAAAAGGCAAAACAAACAGTAAATTTCAATTGGGAAAATCTGA